GAGTATTGTGGCAAAATAATCTGAGTTCTGTCATTTAGACATGACAGCCTCTTTGGTGGATCATTGTGTCCCTTCTCTTGGGTCTACCAAGGACTAGGCTGCTGGTGCTCCGACTCCAGTTCAGTGGCTGTTCTGCAGAGAATATATATGTCCCATACTGTATGTGTTATACTGAGTGAACTGGCTCCCTGAAAGAGAGGGATGACTGTGATGGTGTGTATATGTCTATATGCAGGACCACAAATACATCATTAGAGGTCATCTGTCGTAAAGGCTTGAATACAGGAGTCTTCAGGCAGGATACACGGGTGTGATATCACCCATCCCATATGTTTTGTATATCAAATTCAGAGACACTTTTTTTCATTGCCTCTTTGTCTGGGAAAAAAAAGAGACAAAAAATTGTCCAAGCCCTCCTTACCTATCTGTTAGAGGAGTGATGACTAATCGCGGTGTGTTTCCCAGGTATTCGTAGGAGTAGAGAAACTGGGCATCACAGATGTTAGTAAGACAGTGCTTCTCCTTTTCATCCCAACGGTGTCTCAGCTGTGACAGCCACACAAAGGCCTGAGAATTCTCCACCTAAAAAACAGTGAGATACGATCCAAAATAATATAATCTTTGTCACCTTCTAATTATGATCATGACATACCATGCTGGAAAATCCTTAGTTCATTACTCACTGGTAACAGCATCACAACAAATACAGCAGCTGCATAAGATTTTTTGAGCACTGGCTCTGGCAGACGTATCCCTCGTGACCCTCTCACCTTCTGAGTGACCATCTTGGCCACGACGTCTCTGGCATGGACATCGATGGTGCAGATAGTCATGACCTTCTGCCGATCACCCGGTGTAAGTTGGCCAATCAGCATTGAGATAAGAGTGTTGAGCTGGGAGACCTGTTTTTTGTAGTACTCCTTCATGGCGTTGTCGTAGCCCTCCTCAAGACGTGCAAAAGCCATAGCGACGTCAGACGTCCACCAGATCTGTGTGCAGGTCAAAGCCACCTGAAAAGGGAGTCAGAGACATCGAAACCACTCTGATTCTCTCTGGTAGTTTACTTGTATTCACTCTGAGCTAAAACATCATCTAAATGTAAAACAAATCTAGGAATTGTGCCAACAAAGGCACACAAAACATATGGCCCTGTATGTTTTTTGCATAAAAACCCCCACCATTGGAAAGAGATGTAAAGGAATATTTGAACTGACAAACAGATTTTTTTTGGCTGTTGTTCCCGACAAATGTGGAGAGTCAGCTTTAAGGAACGCTACATGGACTGAGCAGGTGTTGTTTTGTCTGGGTATTAATGGACTTGGCATTTAAAAATAATTCCAGTTGAAGCCTCCTAATACCTTTGCAATTGGAAAGGGTAGGGTTGGAGGGTATGCAGAAATCAGGTGTACAGATGAGCTAATAAAGACGAGCTTAGCTTCTGGGTGATGCAAGCCAAAAGAAAGCATTCTATCCAATGACCAACAAGGAGCATCACTGGTCACAAAGAGAGTCTACAAGAGAAACATCCTTGGGTTCCCCTAACCTATGACCTCAGTAAATACTTTTCTGATAAACTTATGGTCTCAAGCACTAGTTACTGTTAATGAAAGAGCATCGTGTTCATTTTGTAATTCATGGTCCTCTTTAGTGTCAAAAGGGAGAATAAAGCTGTGTGTGATTTACTGTGTGACCATACAAATATACAGATATACAGGCATTACAAACTATCTCAGGCTATAAATACACTGTTGTATGGTTTATGTAACATCTGTTATCCTTGTAAAATAAACAATTTCACTATAATGTATTCTTTGCAAAAAAGCCCGTTTTTTTATTTTTTTATTGGTTGAAGAACACCCGATGATGTATTGCACAGCTGGTGTCACAAATAAATACAGCTTTGTTTGTGCCAAACGACTTCAGGAGTAGCTTGTTATACACATCCAAAACTATTCAGCAGCTAAACAGCTACATCTAATTGTAATTGGGGTGGCTGTAGCTCAGGTGGCAGAGCAGGTCAGCCACTAATCAGAAGGTCGGTGGTTTGATCCCAGGCTGCC